TGTAAAATATCCTAAGAAAATAACAAATCATTAACTGCGGTACTAATTTTATAATTATGAAGGAACTTAAATCCTCCAAGTGTGTTGTTATATGGCATACTCCTAAAGGCCTAAGAGTTTTCCTGTGTATTCTAATTTTTCAGATTGTAAGTACACAGAAAAGCAGCTATTTCTCTAAATTCTCTTTTTTGTAAACAATGTATATACCCACAAATACACATACATCCCTCACAAAAGGTCAGCTATCTCACCTAGAACCCTTCCTTTAAAGTAGACCAGAAGTTGCATATAAAAAATGGGAAAGCTTATCAGAGCTAAAGATACTAGCCCTGGCCGGTTTGGTTCAGCGGTTGGAGCGTCGGCCTGAGGCACAGAGAGACCCGGGTTCGGTTCCCGCTAAGGGCACGTACCTCGGTTGCAGTTTGCCCCGGCCCTGGTTGGTCGTGCAGGTGGCAGCCACTCCATGTGTCCCTTCACATCGATGTTTCTCTCTCTCTCTCTTCCTCTCTCTCCCTCTCGCTCTATCTGAACAAAAAAATGGAAAAATGTCCTCGGGTGAGGATAAAAAAAAAAAAAAAAGATACTAAACCTACAACTCATTTACCTGTTGCTAAATATTACTAAATAGCAAGTTCTATTTTTAAAAAATTGATCCCAACTTGCTGTTTATTTTCTCTTTAAATCACAAAATATAACACTGTTTCACAACTAGGTTTTATATTTTACAACAGCATGCATTCTTTTATAATAGAATTATGATTCAATAGACAATTGAATGTACATCTACACTGTGCCATGAACCTGCTAGTAGAGATACGAATAAAAAGTTCCTCTCTTCATTATTTGATATTAGGCTCATGTAAAACTATACAAATCCCACACCAACACATGCAGCTTTGGCTAGAGGACAGAAGTTGTACAGAAGAATGAGTGCAGAAGAAAATAAAATCCTATTCTATAATTCATTCCTTTATCCTTTCTCATGCACAGGTTATACAAAAAACTGGACACCACCAGTACCTCCCATTCACCTCATCTCCTAACACTGTACATTAGGCAGGTTTTAAAACAGGCTGGACAGTTCTAAAGTTCCTAGAACTGAGCATCCAACCTCTTTGTATTAAAAAACAAAAACAAAGCAGTAAGGAGATAAAAGCAGCAAAAACACCATCTTCATTTAAATTTTCTAGACTTTAGTTAAGTGGATATACCTAGGTGAGAGTATTCCCTCAATTAGCAATGGTGGTAATTAGTCAGCAAACTCACAAAACACATCAAACAATTTATAATACTAAGTATTAGTCATGGAAAAATACTATGCAATATTATCTTTAATTAACAGCTGACATTTCATGTTTAATTCATGCCAATCACTGTTCCAAGCATTTTTCATGTAATATCCCTATTTGCACCCCAAAGTTGACGTAGACTATATTCTTGTTCCCATTTTACAAATAATAAAAGGACACGAGGTTAAGTAACCTGCCCAAGGTCATAGCAGGTTAAATGGCAGTCAGGATTTAAACACAGACTTCTGATTTAATTGGCTTAAAACACTATATAAATGGTGGTCAATGGAAGGCAAATTCCTAATAAACAAATGATTTTATCTAGGGCATAGAGCTTTCAATCTATTACCAAATATTTATTTAACAGCTACTATGCTCCAGACACTTAAGTAAATGATGACAAACAAGAAAAGGTCCCTGTTCTCTACACTCTTCATTTGTGGGTGAGGAAAAAGAAAAAAAAAAAATATTAATCTTTATTGCAATAGAGAAAATAAGCATAAAAAGGAGGATTTGAGCTAAGATCCAGACTAAAAACAAGAAGGCATTTTCCAACAAAGGGAAAACAAGCAAGAAAAACCTGAGACAAAATAAAATATACTTATAAACAGTGAAAAAAAATGGATGAGGTTGGAGAGGTAAAAAGCATAGGATAGTTCATAGAGGGTCTCACAAACTGCACTTGGAGATAAAATTTGGAGGTTCTGTTGGTTGGTAACACTTGTAAGGGAGCCATTGAAGGTTTACAGACAGGGAAATGATGTGATCTGACTGCAATATAAAGATCAACTATATATGAAGAGTAGAAACTAGACCAAGATAGGGTTAGGACATTATTTGCAAGATAATTGTGGCATGGACTTGAGTTGAAGCAGAGGATATGGAGAAGAGTGGACATGTTAGAATGCACTTTAAAGGGAAAAAAAAAAAACTAGACTTGCTGGCTAACTATATGTGGAGAGGAAGGGGAAAGATTAATATGTAATCAAGGAAAACACCAAGACTTTTGGCTCCAGAAAAGCACTGGGTCCATGTCAGTCTCATTTATTAAGTATCTGTTTTGAAGATGTTAGTTTTAAGATACCTAGTATATGGTCACAGTTGGTACACACTTATTGTTGTCTAACATGCAAAACTTGATTGCTGGATGAATTTACTGTGAATGTCATAAAACACTAAAAAAATACAGATGTTTTCACGACAATGTAAAAACTCTCATTTTTAAATGCTGGGGAAGGTATGATCATTCTTCACCTAAATATAACATGAGAGTGAACTATGTGTTCCAAAAAATCTTAAGTACATATATATAAAAGTTATGAACAAAATTTTCTAAATTGCCATTTTATTTTCTATGTTCTTCCTTGCCCATCTCCCTAACTACAGGCCATTAGAATAAACTCCTGTTTATGCAAAATCCAAACTGAAAGGTTCAAAAAACCACCGTTCAACTTCTGAGTGGGGAGGAGGGAGAAGGCAAATCATCAGAGGTCTAGTTTCTTTTTTTTTCTCTTTTATCCTCACCCGAGGATATTTTTCCATTTTTTGTACAAATAGAGTGGGAGGGAGGGAGAGAGAGAAACATCGACGTGAAGGGACACATCGAGTGGCTGCCACCCGCACGACCAACCAGGGCCGGGGACAAACTGCAACCGAAGTACGTGCCCTTAGCGGGAACCGAACCCGGGTCTCTCAGGGCTGCAGGCCGACGCTCTAACCGCTGAGCCAAACTGGCCAGGGCCAGAGGTCTAGTTTCTAAAAACTAACCTGAAGTACAAAAAAAGTTAAGCCACCGAAACGACAAATACAGCAGCATGACCTTTCCAAAGACAAATGGTATATTTATAAAAACACTAAGGCACAAAACATTACAGTGCATTTCGAAATGAAAATGTACTATTAGCTTAATTTTAAAATTCCATTCCAATTCCTTGAATACATTCTAATTTCTTTTTTTCCTCTAATTTTTTAAATATTAGTAATTCATTGTCTTCGATAATCAAACTATGCTTATGAAAGTTTAGTTATTTAGTGTAGTTTGATTTAAAATTTACAGATACAATGTAAAAACCCTCATTTTTAAATGTTGGGGAAGGTACAATCACTCTTCATCTAAATTTAACATAAAAGTAAACTGTGTTCTATAAAACTATAAGAATATATATAAAAGTATAAAAATCTGTTCCATTTCATAAAAATTAAGTCTGAAGAATTCTAAACTTATAAAACTGAAAAATTCTAAGAAATATCTACTCACATTATTCTAATAAGTTTCCAAACTTCACATGTATCAAAGTCATCTAGAAGGCTTGCTAGACAGATTACAGGGCCCCATTCCTCAGTCTGACTCAGTAGGTCAGAGGTGGGGCCAAGAATTTGCATAGCTAAAGCTCCCCTGTATTGCTGGTGCAACCTGACTTGATACCACCCTTTGAAAATCCCTGCACCAATACATAGTACACAAGTGTTTCATTAAAAGATACCTTTTCCTAATAAATTGATGGAAGTTTTTAAATGGCATATTATCCCATGGAATCAGTAATTCATCATTTCTTACAAAATTAAATGTTGATATATAGGATATACCTAAACCCAACTGAAAATAATTATGGTGAAGGCCAATCCAATTCTGGACTCAAAACTGTATTTTAAAGAAAATAACTATATGGCATAGTATGATACCATTAATATGAAATGTCCAGAATTGGGAAATCTAGACAGACAGTAAAACAGTGGTTGTCTAGGGTTGCAGAAGGAATGAAGAATGACCACTAATATGTATGGAAGTAAATACACTAAAACTCACTGAATTACACACTTTAAACAAGTAAAACTTATGACACAAATTACATCTCAATTAAGCTGTAAAAAGAAGTTATAGAAAAGTTCATATAGTAGCTAAGCAGCATTAAACGAAATGTTGCCACTATACTCTTAGGAATATATAATTCTCATTAGAATATCAATACCTTTGTTTCTCCTGGTCCCAGATAAATAAGCATACTTTACCAAAATTATGGTTAATTCTACTTCAGGTGTAAAAACCAGTGAGATTATATATAGTAAGTGTAAGGCCATTAAATTAAAGGGATGCAGGATATTATTTTCTGAAATTAATGAGATAGCCCCTTGAGTAATCCTATGGACCTAGAAGTAACAGTTCAACAGTTGTCATTTTTAAAATTAGTGTGTTTCACCAAATGGGGTTCCCAGCCCATTTATCCACCAGGGGCAGCAGAGCAGTCACAGTATCTCTCAGGACCATATAAATACACACAGAGATCTAGATTTCTTTTTCTCCCCTTTCCCACACTATACCATTTTGCATGGCTAATATAACAAAGCCTAAAATAAGGTGCCACGTTGTCCTTATACAAAGCACTTATACTAAATATGAATTCTAATGACTTAAAACTTTACTTACTTTCATCCATCATTTTTCTAGTTGCTGAGAGGATCCATGTACAGTTTTCTTTTATTGTTAAGGAACCATCTCTTCCAAAAGTTAAAACCTACAGTGTCTGATTTTTCTACCCTAAAAATAAATTTTAAAAGGGAGACTGGAAGACTTTTCCCAAAGTTCAAAAATGATTCTAAGTTTCCTATTCCTTTACTATCTTCTCTTTGAGTCAATCTCTACTTGTTTTCAATTTATATCCAACGACCCTGCTAAATTAACTCTGATTTGCCTTTAGACCTAAAATGACTTACGTCTCATGTGTTCCAAAAAAGAAAATGGGTAGTTTGTTTGTTGGTGGTTTTACAGCTCCATCAGGAACTTCATCTACCTAAAAGAAAGATCAGACAAATTAAAATATTTTAAATCATACATACCTCATACAACAGACTAAACTAGGAAGAAAACATCCAAAAAGGACCTGATATGTGGACCAGTTCTACAGGTCCATAATCCCTCCTCCCTAGTTTTGAAATCCAGTAAAGTTCTAAAAACCAAGATATTTCTAAAAATTCATATGGTGACAAAACCTTATCTGACAGTGAAGTTATTGCCATCATTTCTTCTATCCACTTAGTGTTTCTACAGATGCTTCTCTGCAGAAATATTGTGTAAGATTGTTGTTATGTGCCATCTCAGACCTTATCAGAAGCAAAATATATGGCACATATGTACCATCATTACCTTTCTAAAATCCCCAAATTCTGAATTTTTTAACATATCCGACCCTAAGCATTTTAGATAATGGAGTATAAACCTGTTCAAAATTCCTAAATGATATTTCTGCAGGGAGGCTATATAAATATTGGATCACTGTAAAAGGAGGCATTAATAGAAGGTTAAAGAATGTTTCTCAAAGTCTGAAACATATTCTGAAAAGATCTTATACTTACATGGGCTGAATCACATGAAGTTACCTGTTCCTTTTTTCTCTTTCAATCCTAACTAAGGAAGAAGTGATCAGGTGCTTTTGTGTTTAACATATCTGTAATACTTGTTATTTTCACTTATTAATTAAAGAAAAGCAGATCTCAGAGTTAAAGCCATCAGGTAAGGCAAAAGTATCTAGCCAGAATTTAGTAACATTTCTATTTCATTTCATTTCATTATTTAAACTTCATAGTAACATTTTCTCCCTCATTTCAAATACACTTTTTAAAAAATCAATTGACTTTGTTAAGAAGGAAGCAGCCAATCAGAGGACCTACCATGTTCTGCATGCATTATAACATGTTGAAGAAAAGACCATGGGGATGATTTGCCTGGCAGTCTGAAAGTTTCCGGCATCAATAGAATTACTACCATCCAGCACTCAGGGACTTTCTTCATTTATCTGATCAATGATTATTTCACCTGTCATTTCAATTTTGTAAGAAGGCCCCAAGAATTATGAACATCCTTAGAGGCCTTAAGATAAGGGCTTTTTTGTCAAACTAGTTCATATGCTTGTTCCACCTAGCAAACAGCTTTAAAAGTCTGTGCAAATGTCTAGCACCTACAGAGTTTAATAAATGTTAAGCAATTTTTTTAAGTTGACTTTAAAAATGATTAGTGGTGGTGGTTCAGGATCACAAGAATGTGCAAGACATTAAAATTAATGAGGTTTGGGATATGTAAACAGAAAATGTTAAAATCAAAATAGGAACAGATGGTTGTCACTGTCACCACTGAGATACTAAATACATATTCTAAACTCTCTAAAGCAAAGACTTAGAATTTGAAAGATTGGAAAGAAGACAGAAAAAGGAATATAATTCTTGCACACAGATAATATATCAAAACAAAATTCATTTGCTTCTAAGAAAAAAAGGAGAAAAGACATGTCCCATTCCAATACAAACGAACTTGTTAAATATAGAATTTAGTAAATAAAGAAGGAAAATTCTCTGGCCCTCCTAAGGGTACTTTATTTTGCTTTTATCAGCACTCTTACTCACCTATCATACTGAAGCATGTGGGGAGGATAATTTGGAAGAGTAGATAATTTTTAAAACATTTCATTTGGCTTTTAACTGTATTGTGGCATAGAAATCTGAAAATAGTTGTATCTCATTGCCTCAGATTTGATAACACTTCAAAATAAATAAGGGTGCTAAAACCATGAGAAAAGTATCTTGGAGGGGCCTTAAACCTGCCAAGTTTCCCTGTGCTCTATTCAAACACGAAATAAAGTGTTTTGTAAGTGCATTATTACGTACTACGGACCATAGAGGTATAAAGAAATTCAGTTTATGTCTATTGTCCTCAAGAAGCTTGCAATCTATTTGGAAATTAAGGCATGTACGTTAGAGTTAAAATAAGAGGATATCAGAAAAGAAACAGACTTTCAAATATACAGACAGGAATTATGATTAAGGATTGTTCAAGTAAGACTCCAATGAAAAGGTAGCCTTGATAGACTGGGGGCTGAAATTTTCCAGATTGGGGGGAAGAAACTGTTAACCTGAGTCTGTACAGAACTAGATGGGAAAAATTAAGCAACAGTAACATTTTATATTTGGATAGCACTCAGCAACTCCATAATTCTCTGTAACCAATAGGTATGTTTCCTCCAGCTGCCATAATTTTAATCATCTTTAAGAAACAACACTCCTGCCCTGGCCAGTCTGGCTCAGCGGTTGGAGCATCGGCCTGCAGACCAGAGAGTCCCGGGTTCGGTTCCTGCTAGAGGCACGTACCAAAAAAAAAAAAAAAAAAAGAAAAGAAAGAACACTCCTCAAAGAGTAAATTAGTGGAAATTACAACTTTACAATACCCCATTTATATTTAAGAATTTTTTAGCTTACTAATCTAATGGCTCTCAACACTTTTTAGGTTCCATCATTATCTTAGAGCCTAAGTCCTTCCATAAACTAACAAAAATATCTTCTTCTGAAAATGGCACGTACTTAGACAATAGCAATTTCTAAATGTCACAAAAAATCCTGGGTCCTTAACTTAATCACCTCTTGCACCCAGGAGTTTGGGTCGATTTCTTTTGTCCCTGTGAAACAATTTACGAGGTAAAACAACTTCTTCAAGGTCACAAGGCAAACTTCATAAATAAAAACGTGAAAATAAATTTTCTATACTTTCCTTGGTGCTAATTGTACAATTTTCATGAATACCTAGTCCTAATCTCTTTAAACAAGCAAATCCAGAAGGCCTCATCAACTACAAAACATGAATACCTGTATACCCAATGTAATCACATATCTCTTTGACATCCAAGAGTTCACATAGGTTTCACTGATATTATCCTTTTTACTCAAAATTAAGAAAATGTCGTTTTATTATTAATTTTTAAACATAAAATCCATACTTGATTATTTTCACCTAAATGAAACATTAACCTGCCAATGTCTGTCAAAACAAGCCATAGGGAAATACATTAAAATGTAGAAACACTTGGATTTTTACAAGTACATGGGAGATTACTGGGCAAAAAAACTAAAGTAAAAGGTCGGTTTACAAATGAGGCTACTGGAAAGCCGAACGAGAAAGGACACGAGAAAAAATTAAGAGAAAGGATAGGATGGAGGCCTCTAAAGAAGGTAGCGCCGCTAAATGCGAAGGTTAAAAATCACTTACTCGGGCTGGCCAATGAGGATAACCTTTCATCTTGGCGAAGATGAGGTCTCCAGGTTTGAAATCGCGAGTCATGTTTCGTGAGGGGCGATGCCGCGGATCCGGATCCGAAGACCAGTGAGGAGGTGCGGCGGTACGGACGGCGGGGGGATGCGGGAGGACCGCCGGGAACGGAGGCTCCGGGGCGGCGGGGGCCGGAGGATGCCTCGGGGTGTTCCAACGCGCCTGCAAGGGGGAGCGCGGAGGGCGGTTAAAGCTAAGAAACCCGGAGGGAGGGGCCTCCGGGGAGGGACGGGGGAGGGGGAGGACCGCGGAGGGAGGACGAGGAGGGTGAGGGTGGGGGTGGGGGTGGGGGTGGGAGTGGGAGAGTGAGGGGAGAGCAGCCTCCCGCTCCTCCCCCGCGAGTGCGCGGCCTCCGCGGCCCCAGAGATACCCCTCCAGGCCTCGGCAGGTCCAGCGCTCTACGACCGAAAAGACGCCACCACCTGAGGCAGAGATGCTTCTCAGCCCCAATTTCCCTTCTCCCACCCCATCTTTCCTCCAGCTTTTTCCTCCGGGTATAAGCCCCAAGGAGGGATCGGAGGGGGGGGCAATGGCAAAAGAAAGGGGAACTTTCCCTTTCCATTCACACACGACCTCTCCCCCTGCGACCTGCTTCCCGACGGTCGCAGCCCAGGGCCGCTCCCCCGCTCCCGGCGGGCCGCGGCCACTTCCCCGCTACAGCCAGGAGCGAGGCCACCGAGGGGGGGCGGGGCGAGTCTCCGCCGCCCGCTCACCTGCCGGGGCTGCGGACGCTGAGGCTGCGGTGGCGGGCCGGCCGCCACTGCCCGCGTTCACGCAAGCCACCTGCGCCACCAGCTGCCGCAGAGGCGTCTCAACGACTCCGAATCGCAACCGCCACCGCCGCTGCCGCCGCCGTCCCTGCGCTGCTCCCGCGCGGCTCCCGCTCGGCGCCCGCTAGCACTGGGGCGGGACCAACTGCTCGCCGAGGAAAGGGAAGCAACGTAGCACCCGCCTAAAGTGTGTGGCTCCGAAGCGAAACTACGGAAGACCCTAATTTCCCAAGCACTTGTTTTTCTCATAATTACAGCTAAGTGGAGGGAGAGACGGCTGTGAAGGGAAAAGGTGTAGGTGAAAATAGATCGTCCTGCTGCGGCTCCCCCCTGCGGTTTGTAGAGTGGTCGGGCCCGGCCCGCCCCTGCTGGCTGCTCTGCGTGTGTATTTGTATGTGTACTGTATGTAAAGGCCGGGAGGGAGGAAACGATTGTTGTGGACCGGGTTTGGGAGCGGGTATCCGGGCCTCCAGCCCTTGGCTGTGTGTTAGGGAGAACCTGGCAGCCTAAGCTGCATGTTCTTGCATCGTTTCCCAGGGTGGGGAGCATTTAATGCTGCACTTGCGCGGTTTGCACCATCCAAAAACGAACTGTACAAAAACCGGTAGATGAAATCCGAGCATGAGGCGGTTGCAGGGTGTGCAGCTTGTAGGCCTCGTACACCTCACAGAATGGGCCTTGCCAGTCTCCTTTTTCTTGAAATTGTAATATGAGAAAGCCCATTTCTTTTCTTTTAAATTTAAAGCACAAAGAACTGTTAAGAAAATGCAGTCCTAACAAATGCAAAATGTGATGAGTAGAAAACAATGACAGGAAAGCATAAGCCTTTTAGATAGGATGTGGGTTTGGGCTCTAAGTAAATTTTAGCTGCGTCTCAATTTTAATTCCCTAGTAGAATGGTAGCTGGTAAGTGGTAGTGTAGAATTGTTACTAAAGCCACAATGTCTTATTTCTGAAAATACTCTTCAAGGGATTTCTAAAATTATTTTATTTTTTTATCCTTTAGCCAATACTGACTTACAAGTATAGTAAATACGCATTTTGAAAATTAATAAAAATTAATCTTAAGTTTTTGTTTCATCTTTCATTGCATCCCCCCAAAAAGTACCTATTCTGTGTTGGGAATACAACCATGAACAATAAGCACAAATACTTCCCATTTAAAACAGAATGAAAATGAAAAAAGCATAATGTTAAATATATAAATAATGGTAATGTAGCTCATGCTCCTTTAAATGGGGAAAAACTTTAATTTGGGTAAACATTGAGAAGAATTTTCTGAAAGCAATACACATGCTGTTAAAAGAATGAAAGAAGACATTCCCAATGCAAAATGTCCTGCAAGTAGTTTCAAAAGACTAAATCATACTTCAGCAACATGCAGAGGATTCCAAGTGGTACAAAAGAACTGACTGGCAAGGGAGTGGGTAGGGTTGGAGAAATGTCTTGAAGTTTCTCATCCTGACTTTGAGTTTGGTGTGATGTATACTCGTTAGCTATTATTATACATTGCTGAGCAAGAAACGGTAAAGATGAATCTTTAAAAAGTAGATAGTAGAAAGAAGCTGGAGGTTACCATTTTACGCCTTAAGTGACCCATTTCTGGATGAGACTGGTAACTGAAAAAGGCAAGAAAGAGCACATGTAAGTACACAAAGGAATAATTGTCAGGTCTTAGTCATAAATCGTGCATAGGAAAAAATGAAGAAAGATGGATTGAAGAAAATTCCAAGACTGTGTAGGAAAGATGAAGGCATCATCCAGCAACCATTTTTGTGCACCTCCTTTGTTCTAATCCCTGCAAGGCTTAACTCCAAGCACGGTCAAGGGCCCAGCAGCACCGCTTCACCTGGGAGCTTGATAGAAGAAACTCAGCCCCTCTGCAGACCTGCCAAATCAGTATCTGCATTTTAACAAGATCCCCAGGTGATTCTTATGCATATTCAATTTTGAGAAACAGCCTACGGATACAGAGGATACTATAGACTATAAAGTAGGAAAAACAAACATATAATAGATAAATTATAATTAGTATTAAAAGATAACTGTTTATTACTGTTAAATGATAATACCTACAAGGAGAGGGAGTGGTAACTGCAATGGGAGGTCCTCAGAAAAGAAATGAAAGGTGGAGGGAAAAGGAAAAGCATTGATGTTTTAGTGTTTGGGGGTTTGGAGGGGGGGTTGTTTGTTTCTTTTTAAATACAAACTTAGCTCTTGTTTTCTTTAAGTTTTGGCAATTTCAATTTGATAGTCTGTACACTATAGTTGATACCCTTTAAATAATAAGTCAGGGAAAAACAGGTGGTATTTTAAGCCTCCAGAGAACAATAGCCTGGGATTCCTGGGAGCAGTAAATCTGAATGGAAGGGAGTGGAGGAGGAGTAAAGAAGGAGGGGCGGTTGGGTTCATCAGAGCCACTCCGAGAGCTATTCTCAACTACAGAGAGCCTGTGGTCCTCTCTAGCCCTGTACCCCTCCCCACATAGTCAGCCTTCCTGGTGGGGATGCCAGCAAAAGTATAGCAAGATAGAGATTAAAGCAGCAATGAGAAAGTTGTTAGGAGAAATATAATTTCCATTACCAAAGCAAGAGGGAGGGGGAAAGATCTAAATGAATTGAGACAGGAGTTTGATTTACATTCTCTCATTTAATCCAGGTGCTACTATCCCCATTTTACAGATGAGAAAACAGGCTCTAAGAAGTTTAGCAGCTTGCCCAGAATCACAGATCTAGTCGAGTGGCTAAGGCAACATTCCAGCTGGTCTGCTCTCCAGTCCCCGCCTTTGTGTGATCCTACACCACCTCTAGGTGGAGCCGGGAGCCGGGAGCCGGCAGCTCTGCAAGCAGAAAAGCTTATAATGAGAAAAAGATGCTGGAAGTAAAAGCAGCCCAGCACTCTTCCACCTTCTGTCTTCCGACTTAAAAGTATTCCCAGCTTCAAATTTCTTAACAACCCCCTCTACTCCACCCCATCCTCCAGCTTGTCTCCACCACCAGACCATTCTGTTTAACTCCTTCTAGTCCTAAAGGACTCAACCCAAAAATTACCTCTAGAAAAGTTTCTGTCCTCATCTCACTGTGGCATAATTATTTACAATCCTTCCAACCAGTCTTTTAAATGACTTAGAAGTCGGCACTCAGTGAAATTTTTCTCTATAAATATTTACTGAATGAATGAGAGGAAGGGGCAGATTAAAAACCCTGACAGGGACTTCTTCATCCTTTAGGCTGAGAAAGCAGATATGAAGACACTTCACGGTATTTATATTTGTTTTGACTTTGTAAATTTTTCATGTACTTTAACTTTTAAAATTGCTAACGTTTTTTATTGAATACAAATAAAGTCATGTAACCATTTTATTTTATTTTATTTTAAATATGTTTTATTGATTTTCTAAAGAAAGAGGAAGGGAGAGATAGAAACATTGATGTGATAGAGAAACATCAATTGGCTGATTGAATCCTCAACCCGGGCATGTGCCCTGACCAGAAATCAAACCAGGACCTCTCAGTCCATGGGATGACGCTCAATCCACTAAACCACCCAGCCAGACCATTGTAACCATTTTTAATGGAAATCATTGCAAATGATATTTAACACATCCCCAAACTTTAACAGTTATAATCCCTTCCTCCACATCGTTTACATATATGTTATTCCACACCCTAATACATAGTATTAGTAATACACCTTCGACTTTTTGTTATGATCACTAATTATTATTAATTTTTTTTTAAAACCTGGAGATTTATGAATTTATTTTTGTTACAGATGTTTCTCCTTTTTTCCCTTTTGACACCCTCCTCCCCATCGCCCCCACCTGCCCCCAGCTTAGTTGTCCATGTCCATAAGTTATGGGTACATGCATATAAGTTCTGTGGTTTATCTCTTCCATCCCCCCGAACCTCCTATTCTGAGGGTTGTCAGTCTGTACCCTACTTTCACGTCTGTGGGTCTACCCTGTTCCTCCAACCATTATGTTCATTATATTTCACAAATAAGTGATATCATGTGATATTTGTCTTTCTCTGCTTGGCTTGTTTCACTTAGGATAATACTCTCCATGTCCCTCCATGTCATCTCAAAGGATAAGGGATCTTTCTTACAGCTGCATAGTACTCCATTGTGTATATGTACAACAACTTTTTTTTTTATCCTCACACGAGGACATTTTTCCATTTTTTTCTTCAGAGTGGGAGGGAGAGAGAGAAACATCGATGTGAAAGGGACACATCCATTGGCTGCCTCCCGCACGACGCAACCAGGGCGGGGACAAACCGCAACCAAGGTACGTGCCCTTAGCAGGAGCCGAACCCAGGTCTCTCTGGACCTCAGGCCAACACTCCAAACGCTGAGCCAAACCAGCCAAGGCTGTACCAAAACTTTTTTATCCACTCATCTACTGATGGACACTTGGGCTGTTTCCAGATCTTAGCAATTGTAAATAGTGCTGCTATGAACATAGGGGTACATATATTCTTTCTGATTGGTGTTTTAGTCTTCTTAGGGTATATTCCTAGAAGTGGGAACACTGGGTCAAATGGCAATTCAACTTTTAGTTTTTTGAGGTAACACCATAGTGTTTTCCATAGTGGCTGCACCAGTCTGCATTCCCACCAGCAGTGCACTAGAGTCCCCTCTTCTCCACACCCTCGCCAGCACTTGTTGTTTGATGATTTGTTGATGGCAGCCATTCTGACAGGTGTGAGGTGATACCTCATTGTTGTTTTAATTTGCATCTCTCTGATAATTAGTGATGTTGAGCATTTCTTCATATGTCTCTTGGCCATTTGTATGTCCTGTTTGCAGAGGTGTCTATTAAGCTCCTCCCATTTTTTAATTGGGTTCTTTGTCTTCCTTTTGTTGAGTTGTATGAGTACTCTATATATTTTGGAAATTAACCCCTTATCTGATGTATCATTGGCAATGATGCTCTCCCAAATAGTGGGTTCCCCTTCCATGTTGATGGTTGTTTCTTTTTTTTTTTTTCAATTTTTTAAATTTTATCCTCACCCGAGGACACTCCTGCACCTATCCTCAGATAGAACATGAGGGAGAAAGGGAGGAAGAGAGAGAGAGAAACATCCTCGCAAGA